GCAGGGCGGTGGAGCCGATCTTAGAGGCGATCCAGTTCAGGTAGGCCCAGGTGGAGGTGTAGACCCCGGGGCGCTTGGCGTGGGCGCAGCCCACCCCCCAGCTGGTGACCCCCACGACCACGAAGGTGTGCTCCGCCTTGTCTTCACACATGAGGGGTCCGCCGCTGTCCCCCTGCCCGAGGACAGGCACGTCAGCCCCCCCGCCCCCCGTGGGGCCCTGACCCGGGCAGTGGCCTCCCGGGACAGTCTCCCGGGGGTGCGTGGCCACGAGCCCAGAGTGTGGCTTTGACCACTGAAAGGGCCGAGTGGACGGCGTGATGGCGGCTCAGGGAGGGACGAGGCTCTACGTGGCCACTGGCTCTCTGGAGGGGCAGCCGGTCGCTCCCACCCGTGCTGTGACTGAAGTGCTGGGGGCAGCCGGTGGACGGGGCAGGAGAGGGCAGGGGCATCGCGGCCGGGGCCTGGAAGGACGTTACCTGGCAGGTGTCCACCTTGCCCTCGGGGTAGCCGGCACACACGTTGGTGGACTGGACGCGCCCGTTGTACCACTGGGTGGAGTTGCACAGGTCGAGGTCGATGAGGTCCACCCGTGCCTCCTGCAGCACGGGGGACACCCTGCGGCCTGCGGGGACGGCCGGGTGGTCCGTGGCGGTGGCCACAGTCCGGGCCCTGCTGCCCGCGCTCCCCCCACCCTGTGATGGCCCCTTCAGGCGCAGACTGGTGGTCCGTGAGTGGCGGTCAGCGCCTGCCCCCACAGCAGCAGACCAGATGTGGGGCTGTGGGGGTGCCAGGGCAGCTGGACGCGGTGGAGCCTGGTGGCCGAGAGGCTCCCGGGAGGGGGAGGGGTACGGCCGGCCGAGGCCCGCGGACCCGGCCTCAGGAGCCCCCGCAGCCCCGGGCACCCCTATGGACACGCCTCCGGCCACACCGCCCGCTCCACTCCCACCGACTCCGGCGGCCGCTGGGCCTCTGAGCAGAGGGCCACGGCACGGCGGCCAGCGGGCGCCTGAGGGTCCTCACGGGCCTGGAGTCGGCAGTGCGCGGCCCCCGCTGCGTCTCTGGGGCCCCCGCACCCCAGTTCCGGCGTGCACAGAAAGTCTTTCTGAGCGATCCGGTAAGGGCCGGGCGTCCCGGGCAGCCCAGGCTCTGCCTGGGTTTCATCAGCCGGGCCGGGGGCTGCCGGCAGGCACGGGCGC